GTGACTGTGATGACACCGTGTCTAGATGTCACTAAGTAGGGTTTACAACGTCATTTTTGTGATCGTATTAGTTTTGCCTTGCTACTGTTTTGCATACCTACTTGTCTGAGCGATGTTTCATTTCGCCTTCTCGTCCTTGGCGGATGCATGGACATTGGGAGGGCGATTGGTGTTGCGGTTTGGCAAAGGTTGGCTTTTCGTGGTGAAGCTGATGCACTTGTAACACATCTGTGGTGTTGGTGGAGACTCGGGCGATGCACAATGTACACTGCCAATGAGGCGTCATTAATAGTGTTGTTGACGTTTGGGACTGCTAGGTGTTGTGGGCATGTCCATTCGTGCTTGATCGGGTCCATTAAGCAGGAATGCGGCAGTGGGCGTGGTTATGTGGTTTTGAGATGACCCGTGGATCGAAGCAAGGATCACGAATGGCATCATAGGGCCTTGGGATGGGTCTGGTTTGCGGAATAGGACGTTGAGTGGCGTTATGTGATAATGAGGTGAACCTTGGGTCAGTGCAAGTTGCATCAATGACGTCGTATGACCAAGGGAATGAGATCTGGAGGGCGGACTTCGATAACCAGCTACGTTATCTGACCTTAGGATGATCCCAGATTGATACGGTGACCATGCTTTTGCCAAAATTTAAGTCCCAATAGTCCTTTACCACATATTGATGTCAATTTCAGGCGGCACCCAATCTGTAATATCGACAACGAATGAAGTATGTCAACCGCAAACTACGCCAGTTGTTCGGCTCTTTGTGTGATCATCTGTGCGTGGCGACTGATTTAAGGTTCTACTCACCATTGTGCGTGGGTTGGTGTTCGGGCTGAGGTGGGGTTCTGTCCCTTCTCACACTCAAAGAGTACGCGTACTCAGCCCAAATTAGCGCCGCCTTCTTCTACATTGTGGGGCGGTGCGTCATTTTTCTCACTACACTGCAATTATATTTGACTACTTTAAAAACGTCTCATAAGTTCACATATGCGCTCACTCTTCTTTCATATTGTCTTTTATGAAGGTGGATGTAGGCCATGTTGAGTTCATAATTGTCGACTTTGATTTGTATGGAATCCTTTTTTCAAAATGCAAACGTCGTTGCAGTTTATTCCCGTGATTACCTGTGTTGAAAGTTCTGGTAGGCGAGAATTATGCAATCCAATTTCTCAATCATGCCATCTCTTTAGAATTCTTTCGCGAAGCCTTAAGGGAAGGTGTCTATGCATCGGCCCGGGACTTCCTAGCCGATACAAGAAGTTATTAAGTGCAGCCAGACAAATTCTAAATTTACCGCCAAACATCATGAGGTCACATAAACAAAGGTGTGCAAAGTCGGTTGGTGATCATTATTTACCCATGCAGACGCAGCACCAATTTGTACCACCCATTAACATTGCAGGTACAGTAAAAATAAAGGAGCTTGCTGCTATTGAGTATCAAATCGGTGTATGCCACTGGGGGTAAGGAGAACCGAGGCAGTGATGCAACTTGCAGAGAGAAGGCGGTGTCACCTACTTGCATTCAAAATGGCAAGTGATGTAAGTTTGAAGGCGAACGAAGTTTGTCAAAGTTGACTGAAATGTCGCAGCACACGTGAATTCACACTCACATCCCATCCAAACCTATGCAAGCCTTTTGAGGAGTGCAAATGGGGAGACGAGCTTATCCTCCCGCATTCCACAACCCTTAAACACGTTGTTCCCAAAGGAGTGCCAAATCACTCCTGTGGATGGGAGCCGTCGCGCAGACAACAAGTGGACAGAGATCGGGCAAAAGAATGGGCTGACGCATTTTCATTGGTGCGGATGTCCACTTAATTCCATTTAAGTCTACTTAGCTACTGTGATCCTCTGCCACGGTTTTGCCACTTCCCTCACAATTTTATGTTTCCTGTTGCCAACCAGGATTTAGCGGTATGTTTTCCCTGTGTGGAGAGCGCCTTGCAATTGTTTTGGAATGCAAGAACTTGGAAGAGCACATAACCGAGTTTTTGCTTACGCCTGATAGTAACTGCACTGATTGTGGTGCCAATTGGGGGAGGGGGTAAGTATGCGATGCTTATACGATAAGCATCATTCTTCCGGATGTAAATTCTGCATTCCCCTTGATTGGGGCTGCGGTTCGACAGGCTGGTCCGCAGGCTGCTTCGCGGTGGTGGAGAAGTATGTAATGCATTTAGTGGGAAAAGTTGCATGTGCAAAGTCTTCCCCTAGATGTTAGAGGTCGGTTTGCGGAGGCAAAGCACCGATCTCGATGCCGCAAGTACCTATTTAAAGAAGAAATCGTGTCAAGATCCAAAGACATCCGTTTGTAGGCAGAGGTAAAAGGAAGCGGATTGGGGTGCGACAATGAGGAGGAAGGAGGAAGATAGCATGCAGGTGCCAAATGAAACAATAAAGAAGCTGTCAATGGCGTGCACAATGTGTGCTTTCAATCACCAATCCCCGCATCAGTCGGCACATCCACCCACGCTATCCACCTCTCTGCTCCCTCGAATGCTGCAGATATCAGGTGTGGAGCGAGGCAGTCAATGCGTTTGGACATAAGGTTAAGGCTGGTGCACCCGTCGCGGACAAAGAGACCTCTCCTGCGTACAGTAGGACATGCCGGCATCCAAGGTGATGGTGGAGATGACTTGGGAAAAAAAGAGGAATCGTTGTTAGATCACTGGTTCCAAAGAAACATTAGCTACATCTCACTTCGTGGTGGAGTACCACATGAGGCTCGCATTATTCAAGGGCAAAATGGAGTCGCAGTTGATGGCATTCGTTGCCCTTGTCGCAAAGACAGGAGGGACGAAACACAACCCATTGGATTTTAGGCCGTGCCATGCCTTCTCGTCCACTTGACGTGTAACTATCATGGAAACACCTGACTTCCTGCGGTTTCTGTTTGACGCCGAGCAGGCTGAAGTTAACTCCAACATTTGGACTCCTAAGCAATTGCGCGAGTTTAGATTCCCTTTCCTCAATCCATTCAAGCATACAAAGGTTGTGATCGACTGAAACAGCAACTCCCACCGCTAGTGGAGATGCTGCTTTGATGTAAGAGCACCGATTTTGCTCCTCCCACATCCACTCTTTCACATTTAGCATTGAAACTATTAACCTGAGCCTGTTGGTTTACCAAAAAATGTGAAACCACTTTAAGAGGTGACCAGTACGTCTTCAGCAGAAGTGGTGAAAAGCACAGCCTTTGAAAGGAGCTACGTTGGCTACCAGTGTCTTTGGTGTCCATCGCTACCC